GGTGATTTTTGCGGGGCCGGGTTGGTACAGCCACGGGGAAATGCGGGGTCGTGGGGACGTCAGTCAGTCGGGGCTGGGTTTGGTTTGCTTTTCTCTCGGTTGCAAATAATGTGCAAAAGAATCCCAGGCTTTCTCGTCACCTCAAACCATGCCGTTTCTTCAGCAAAGCTTTTGAGGTTTGGGTCAGTCAAATGCGGTCTGCAGGAGGCAAATGTCTTGTCGGGTTTTGTAATCCCCAAAGTTACTTGTTATTAATGTAGTTCCCTGATGATTTTTTTTCAAACTGGCGAGCTCTACCAGCATGTGTTTTAAAAAATAATTCTAAAAAGTACGTATAAAACCTGTAATTTGAAGTTCAAAATTTTAAACTGTTTAAAGTTATTTATTTCTGGTCTATGGCAAAACCTTACATTTTAAAGTTGCGTTTTGCCAAAATTTAAGTGAAGAAAAGAAAGTTTAGTTTTGAAAATTCCTCTCAGAAATATCGCGAGCAGGCTTAAAAGAACATGCATCTAAAATATGTGAGAATATTAAAGGAAATAATTTCTGCAACATTTCCCTAACACTAGTACGGATCCCATTTAAAAAAAAAAAAAAAAATCCATGTTTCTAAGGACTTACGTACCTTAGGTACAACTATTTCCAGAAATCATTGTGTACTTTTAACTAACAGGCAAAAGTACTTTTCTTCTTTTTCACTTTTACCCTTTTTTCTTTTTGCTTCCAAAAAATCGTTCTGATTTTAAGCTGCACTTTTCTGTGCATACACAGGATTTAACTTCTATCATGCTGAAGCAGAATCAACAGATGCTTTAATTTTTTTCAGGTGGTTTAAATATAATTCTTAATTTTAGCAGCTTTTCAGAAGCTCTCTCATTTCTGTTCTCCATCCACGTATTTATTTTCTGATTTGCCTTTATTTCAGGAGAATGTTTCCTACGATCAGGGTTTCCTTCTCAGGAGTGGATCCTGAAGCCAAGTATATTGTGTTAATGGATATAGTTCCTGTGGACAATAAAAGATATAGATATGCCTACCACAGGTCTTCCTGGTTAGTGGCTGGAAAAGCTGACCCTCCGCTCCCTGCAAGGTTTGTAGATTTTTACTGCTGGTCTTTCTTTTATTTTCTTTACTTTTTATTTTATTTTCCTTCAAGAAATAACTGCTATTAATCTTTTCACGCTGTTTGCAAACAGTGCTCTGAGACTTTGAGTCCGTGTTCAACAAAGTTGATTGCAAAACTCTGATTTTCTGTGGTGCAGAATCGGGCCTCAAATCTCTGCTTGAGGTTTGATTTATACTGAATGTTCCAAGGCATGCAGGATTTGGCTAAAGACTCTTTTATATATTTTTTTTTTTTTAAATGAAGTTTGCCTCAATTCAGATAAGAAAGCTTTATATAAAAAAAAAGATATTGATTTGTCTCTTGGGTTTTTGACCTCATAATTTAAAGCAATGCAAGCACCACCAGCCAAGTCCAAGTAGAAATACTACATTACAGTGCTGTTTATGCTTGAAATGATATTATTTCTTGATAACATATCCAGCGTTTGCTAACCAATAATTTTATTCTTGCTTTTAGTCATCTGTTAGACAGCAAGCAAAGTACGGATCAGTTCTACAGCACAGAGATCTATTTTATTTTTGTTAAGAAATCATGACATTTTCTGAGACGTTAGGAAAAAATCAAGTAAATTCCCCCCCTTTTCTATACAGAAACAAAATGCTGTAGAAAAATAATTTCTAAAATCATTCTGTTAATGTGGTTAATGATTGACTCCTTTCAGCATGGGGAAACTGAGGCTACAGCACTAGGCTGTACGGTAGGAGGGCACTTCAGTGCAGACCCACACTTCATCGTATTCAGCCCAGCACTTCAGTGTCTACTTAAGTCCCCAAGTCCCGTAAGACCGAAGCACATGTCGAACGGCTTTGCTGAGTCAGAGCCGGAGATATGGAAATAACGTGAATGCCTCTCTGGCTTCAAAGAAACTTTTCGTGGAGGGCTCTGCGCAGGCACACAGATCCGCTCCAGGTGGCTTAGCCCGGGGTTAGGAACTTGCTTCTTACAGAGTCAGAAATTAGAAGTGAAACACAAGAAATGGAAGCACCTTTTTTTTTGTATGTGAGTATACGGACCAAATCCTGCACGCTTTCCTCATATAAATAGTTTGACTGAAATCTTGCTGACTGCTGATCTCTGGAAGGCGGCTCAGGGAAGTAAACAAACAAAAAGCGCATGCAGAGAAGCTGTGATTAAAGACAGCAACCTAGGAGTTATGTCGGCTTTGTTTTCATGGCCAAAAACTCCTTCTTGCAATGTGGTTAACGTCTGAGGGCTTCATTTGACGTATTGTAATAGGCACTGATCAAAACCCAAAGAAAAAACATGGATCCTGCTCCAAAAGAGTCAGCATCAAAAGAAGAAATAAGGGAAGGACAGAAATAGTTTTAAGGAAGGGTTCTCCCCTTCTTATTTTTCTGTTCAAGTGCCTTTTGGGATACTTTTAAATAGACGGCTAATTCACAATATCTGGCACAGACCAGTTCAGTGAGGAAATAGAAGAGCGTAAGACAAGAGATTGATCCTTGGAATAATTAGCAACTGCCCTACTGACTGTTTTAGAGCTGGGGTCAAACCTTCTTGGAGTTTAGTATTTATTATCATCGTACTGTGGTAGCTCTTTAAGGTCCTCATCGAGTCAGTGCCCCTATGTGCAAATGTATACCTGTGCTATTTCATTTTCAGGATGTTTTCCCCCTACGTACAGACGTGTACCTTTCCTGTTTCATTTTCAGGGTGCCTAGCCAAAAGACCATTGGTCATAGCACAGGCACATGTATGAACGGTACTTACATATACATTTATGCACTTTCTGCTTCTTTTGCTCCTGTTTGGTTGAGAAAAAGGATGTCGAGAGGTTCAGTGTGCCGATGTTTGCATTACTAATGCTTTTTCTGGAGTGTTAATGCATCTTTTGAGGTGGGAGCCTCAGTCTTGCTCAAACAGATTAAAAGTAGTACTCCTCCCATCACGAAACGGGTTTGGTCCTGCTCTGGTAACAGGAGCCCTTAATGAAGTTATCACTCATGATTCCTTGTCCTCCAAACACATGGTTTTAGCTCTCCTCGCTTGAGGAGTGTCAGAGGGGAGCATAGGCATGCTTAGCGTCTGGGCGCTAGTACCAAGGTGCTAACTCCCCACGCACATCGCTGCCTGCATCTGCACAAGCACAACGGCATCAGGGGAATTATTCAGGAGTCACGCTATGCAGGGGTGTAAGACTTTGCAGGATCGAACCCGTTAGGTGTTTTGCTCTTTCCACCATAAAAATAACTTTCAACGCTAAGACAGCTTTTTTTTTTTTTTTTTAAAATTAATAAGTATTCTGTGATTCTGTTTGAAAGATTAGCCCTTCAGGGAACTTTCTACAAAAAACAGTTTTATCCCTGTCTTCCTGCCGTCAACGTTTAAGACAAGTTTATGTTGCAATGAACACTTAAATAAAAATACTTTTCAGAGAGTCTTTTGTAAATCTTCTAAAGTGCTATCTGGGGATAGAATTCCTATGTGATATTTTATGTTTGTTCTTCCAAATTGCTAAGGCTGTGTGACACATCAGTTTAATAAGTTTCAGCATGCACCTTTATTCGCTCTTCTTCCTTTTTCACCTCCTTTCTTTCACTAAAAAGTCTGTCTTTTTTTGTTGTTTTTTTTTTAATTTTTTTTTTTACTGTATTTGGCTACAATCATTTGTTTAATGAAGTTATAGTGTTTACGCACTTACAGAGAACTCTAGGTAGGAAACCTTTAAAAGGTATTATATCTTGCAAATTATTTGAGACATAAAGGTAATTAAAAGCAGTATGCACAGGGCTTGTAGGACCAGACCAACTCTTAAACTAAATAGGAGAGTGGTGTCGCACTCCAAAATACGCAAGAAGGAAGCAGTACACAAACCTTGCGTATATCACGAAATATTATATACTGTGGAGCAAATTCACATCCAAATATGGTTCTCACAGCCTTTGCGAATTGAAGCGAGCAGCCCCTTGCATCTGGCCGGCCTTAGGCAGCAGAGCCCACGCGAACTTCTGGGGGAGCCTCGTGTGCCGCGCTGGAATGCGCGCGTTTATTTCTCTAACCCGTTTGCTTGCGTGCGCTCACGGTCTCGTCGACGACTTCTACTTCAGAGGGCGACACGTCTAGTTTTCAACCCTCTTCTCCAGGGCGTACAAGCTCAGGCTGTAGGAAAAGTGTGTGAATAGGTATAGTTCACCAGGCGGAACCACGTGTTGCAGTGGGATCGACGGCGTGTAGCAAATCAGTAAAGAAAAGCAAGGTCTATTAATACATTTATGTAACCAATATTCAGGTGCCCATCCTGCAGTGACTTTCCCGTTAGCGCTCTGCTAACATCCAGGCACTTCGTAGTTTGAAAGCAGTGCCAAGCATTAACCGGCTATGGTATAAAACAGTTGTGCTCAGCTTTTAGACACATGAAGATCTTTACTCATTCCCCAGCACATATTTGAAATAGTTTGGCTTTTTGGTCCCGATTAGCCAAACCTTGCTGAGCCTGACACTCTGTGATCACAGTAAACATTATTACCTATCCAGACATTCAAAATTAGGAGTCAGGCTCCAAAAAAAAAAAAAAAATCACAAGACTGGCTGAAAAATTGCAGGACATGTTTGGGACACTTTTTGTTTTGCCTTCTCTAATTCAGGGCTTTAAAGATTGAGATTTTCACAGTTTTTTACAGGAAGGCAAAGTTAGTTTTAATGAGAGGTAAAATTCTTTCGACATAACAGGATTCCAGGTCTTGGGTTTTCAGATACATCATAATTTTTCATGAGCCTTGCAGTGGAATCAACAGAGTCGATAGCAGTGAGGGCGCCTGTATGCTAGGAATATTTTATTGCGACACGAACCCTGGCTCAGCATCCCTCCCGTGGACATAGCTATACCAGCCAAGCTGTGCTTTGGATCAATGTAAGGAAAACATCCTGCACATCTGAAGCGAGCTGTGCTGGTAAAACTTTAGTTTCACTGTGTCTTGGGGATTCTGCTGGCAAAAACGGAGAGTGCAAGATCAAATCTCCTTCCTCTTTGAGCAACAGAGCTCTGCTCCCTGGCGTCTTTAGTATGGGCATTCCTTGATTAGGGATCAGCGTTGTCTATCAGAGAGTTACGCCCCATCGTTTAGTGGTTTTTCCATTCTCTTCTTGCCTAACCAACAAAAAACGTTTATCTTCTAACCCGGCATCTCAGCGCTGCCCCACCCGTCTAATGGAAGAAATCCATCTGTGTGGCCAAAGACATCACCCAAAATGAGAGTCAGGCCCTCAGCAAGTGATAACCAACATTGACAGAAGCAGAACTAGTCTGGTTTGCACTAGCTGAAGGTCTAGTTCAGCTCTTAATTCACTATCACAAAAGAACATTTCAGTTAAATAATTTTCAGCAATACATTATTCCTATAAAACCATTGTTTTTAAATAGCCTGGCACTTGTAATTAGTCTAGTCATAATGTATATATCATTGTATCTACATGTCTTCTGTGCTTCCTTTTCTTCTGCTTAATTTCCCAAGTGGTGGATTGTTAATTACAGAGCTGCAATTAATTTTTTCATGTCAGACCACTGTGCTGGACTGCAGCCTTCAACCTCTTATAAACAGCCGTCACCACAGCTAACGTGTGATCGAGTGCAGGTTAAAATCATTATCACGGCTTAATGTTACATATAAAGAAAAATGCATTTTTATCTACATTCCCCCATTATCTCTCTAATGACACCATGTTTTTTCTCTTGGAGTTGTAGTCATTGTTATTTTAAGTGCTTGTTAGTACAGCTGTGGGGAAAGACATGATCAATTTTTCATTTGGGAAAAGACACAACAGCGAATGTTAGTTAATGTCTCCATTTCAGATAACTACATAAAATAATAGGTATGGTTAGAGAGCAATCTAGCACTTGGACATCGGATTCTTCATTATGTTCCAGTGAATTAAGCAACTCAAGTCATCTGCTTTACTGTCTTTCATTAATGGTCATATTTCAGGCGTTCATTAATTTGGGGGAGATTGTTTATGTCTTGTTTGAGTAGCAGCTCTGTATTACCCTAAGCGCTCAGGAAATCCACATCCATGAAACCACCTCATATCCCGAAAGCAAGATACTATGGGCTTTTTAAATTCATATGGAAGTGTTGCCCACGCACAAGCCAAGAGGTGAGATTTTTTTATGAGCAGGCCTTTTCCCTGTTTTTTAGGTTGTACGTGCACCCCGACTCCCCGTTCACGGGAGAGCAACTGCTGAAGCAGATGGTGTCCTTCGAAAAAGTCAAACTCACCAACAACGAGCTGGATCAGCACGGCCACGTGAGTAGCCCTCCTTGCGGGAAAGGGTGAAGGAACCACCACAGGAGAATCGCTTGCTTGTGCCACAGGGCTAAGCTTGCGGGAGAGAGACTGCGATGGGGAAAGGCTGCCGTGGCCCCGACCTTACACCTCTCTTGGCCAGCCCTTCGTACCACAGTGGAGGAGGATGCTGTGTGAACCTTAAACATGTTGGGTTTTAATCTCTGTTGTAGAGGAACAGGTGACTTCAGAAATCAGGTTTTTTACCTTTCATAAGGTAGAGCCCAGGTCAACACAAGTGTTTGAATTATGCTCTTACCACCATCAGAGGCAGGACATCCACTGGGGACAAGTTCAGGGTAGAGCTGAGCATCAAAGTGAGGGAGAGAAGGGAGGCAGGTGAGCTTTTTGTCGTGCGTTTGCCCGCATTTTCCTGTGACTTGGGACAGTATGCTCTGCCACGTGCACCGGCTAGCAAGCTCACATGCTTTTCCATGTATGCTTAGAAGCTCCCCCTCGTTACAGGCAACCTGTTGGGTCCATCAATAAGAGCTCTTGTACTTCCAGAGTCAATGCAGCATGGGCACAGGGTCAGCAGAAAATACTGATGTGACACCAAAGCAAGGGCTATTGAATTATAAAAATGTGTGCCTCAGTTGCCCTTGAAATAACTGTAGGCTACCTGCAAGTCAAGGTGCCACAGGGTGGACTTGGGTGTCTAAAGGAAACGGGTCCCAGCTCTGATCAGTACCAGTTTGTTGTCACAAGCCCTGAGGCTGGAAGGTGGTAAATAGCGTGCAGAGCTGCTGGCCATGGTCTCCCGCTGTGCTCCATCAGCGGGGACAACTCCTTTAGCTACCTGACTGTCTAATGGTAGATGATAAGAAAAAGTGTCATTCATCCTGTCCCTTCCCCAAAAATGCCTGTAAAGTGCAGGAACGGCTCGGTAGCGCCTCCAAATTGCAAAGGAAGAGCTAAAAGTGCTGTCTCTGGGCTCAGCGGCTCCCCGGGGGAAGGCTGAAGGAGCAGGGGGACGGATTTTAAGGGGTTGCTGGCTGAGAACGGGGCAGTTAAGAAGAACGAGCGTAAAGGCAGTGTTAGTAAATGAGGTGTTGGGAAGAGAGGAGTGATTTTGAACTCTGAAGCATGTGTAGGAGTAACTAACCTGTAAAGCTGAATAATTGTGGCATACGCAGTGTCAGAAATCCCTCCCCTAATGTGCTATTTATTGCCTTTTCGGACTGTGTGAGACAGTGGCTGTTTGTCTGAGCTGTGTTCTGTGCAAATGCTTCTCATGCGAAAGAGAATTTTTTACTCATTTCAAGACCTAAGAATTGAACCACAGCCATGATCATTTAAAATACATCCTGGAAACAACAACAACAAAAGTAGTTAAAAAAAAAACCCAAAACCAAAACAAAAGAAAGCCCAGATAGATGCCTCTGTGTTGTTCTTTTGTAAAGATCCGTCTGTGGGTATATTTTTCTTGAATCTGGTTCCCACCGTTGTTCCCTTCCTGACTAGCGGAGAATGTCTTTTTTTTTTTCTTCCTCTCTTTTATTTTGTAATCTGTAGAAGGGCAAAGCTGAAGATTTGTGGGCTCTATCACCGAGTGATGATAGAGCAGTATACGTGCGCATTTAAAAAGAAGCATTTTTCATCATAACAGGGGCCATGTGTGCCTCTAATAAAGGGCTTGCAGCAGTATATTGCAAACTAGTTAGGAGCAGTGCAGTTCCCAGAAGCCCAGATGAGTATAAAAAAGAAGTAGGTCTGAGAAGCTGTCGGGAACAGAGACATGTGACAGAGCAAGAAGACGTAATCGTCTCAAATACAGGCAGTGGGAGAAAATGATCCGTAGCGTTTGAGATGTGGCCTCCCGATTAACTTTCCAAGAAGCGGCAGAGGTGGATCCCATTCTTTATGTGAAGGCTTTGGACAGCTGAAGTCGATGGAAAGTTTTGCAGGTTCAGTTAAGAATAAGCCCTGAAGGCTTGATCCCGTGTTGAGATTTGCGTGACAGGTGTTACGCCTCCACGGAGCATTGCTTTTTAATGTTTTGTGGTTTTTTATGTTCCAAATTAGGGTGTCAGGTTTTATGTGCTGCCTTATTGAAGCTATGTAAATACCATCATTGGATGCTCAGTAGAATTAAGGAAGAAATTCATTCTCTGGAGCCTTTAAGAAGGGCTCACTGTGCTATGGCCAATGGCATTTCCCAGCTCCTGTGTACTAAGAGAAGGAGAGAATTGAAATGCCTCCCGAAACCTCTCCCTGCAGTTTGAAAGAGCCGTTCTTCACTGACGAGATCTTTTTAATTGACCTGCTAAAATCTTAATTATGTTTGGTAAGGCATGTTGGTTCCTGAGGAAGTTTTAATGACCTAAAAGACGCATTTGAATACTAGTTATAGGTAGAGAAGCTGGATCCAACCTGATTCCAGTTTGTTCTAGTTGCTTGCTTTCTCCATCCTCCAGAAGACAGTTTTGGCCGTTAAGGTAATTGCGGTGGTTTATTTGTAGGGTGGTTCATTTCCTGAAAAGGAATCTGAAGGGAAGAGAGGCATTTGTTTGTTTTCTTTTATTCCTTTTGGAGTTGGCAAGCGTCTCTGCTTGTGTATCTTCAGCAGCGTGCATAACCCCATAGCTATGTACATATTCTCCCCAAGCATCAGGCAGAAGTCTTATCTCTGTGTGCATGACATACAGCTTGCTCCATGGAAACACTTTCAGATATCCTTACCAGAGGAAGGAAATGGCTCCTGTCTCTGGATTTTTACAGCCAAGCAAGTAATTCCCATTTTTCTGGTTGTGGAACACTTATGAACATGATTTTTTTTCCAGATCTCTGGTGATGTTTTTCACACAGGCTGCTTCTTTTAGGACTTTTGGTTGAACTTAGTTGGGGTGGCATCGTTTCTGGTTTATGGTGAGGTGAACCATGAGTGTATACATTATCGTAATTGCTTTTCTGGCATTTATGATAGCAAAACTCAAACACACGAATGTTTGCAACAGCAAACACAAAGGTGTGAACATGGCCAACAAGGAACTGTGAAAGCAGGGGTTTCAGAATAGCCACAGGGAGGTATGCCCAGGTGGTTTTTTTACAGTCAACCTGGCAGAAGTTAGGAACCTCCACGCTTTTAGAAAGCAAACTTTGCCTGGTAACACTCTTCTTTGGTGAATGTGGAAGCCACATTCACAGCAGAGTTCCTGAATTCAAAGTCACCTCAGGGATTTTGCAGCTGGCATCCAGATTGCCTCTGGTGACCGGTCTGTAGCCAGTGGGAGCCAGATGCCTACAAACCTGCCTGACCTTACAGCAAGCAGGATCCTGTAAGGACGGATCCTGGTCATCTCCCCTGCCACAGGCTGTCAGCACAGAGGCAGATGTGATGGCTGGGGGCCTGTGACCATGCTGTACTGCCAGTAAGCATGTGCCAGGAGTCTGCCAAAAGTATACGCGCACCTGATGTTTCTCTCTCGGGGCACACCAGCCTGAGTATCGCAGAGCTGGCATCAGGGATTTTCTGATAGCTACACCACGCAGGGAGGGGACTGCTTGGACTTTGAGACCGCCCTTGGGGGCTGCTCTGTGAGATGCACCCTGTGTATCTAACTCCTTTAGGCTGTTTTGATGGTCCTAACATAAGAAGTTATTAAGGGGTATCTTTGTGCAGTATCCTGCTGACTTGAATGTGAGTACTGCAACATCGGCAGCCTGTGCGGGGATGCAGATGGAGCACTACATACACAGACCCTCACAAAAAGGAAACTGTGACCTTAACCTTGGCCATGGGTCTTTTGTGACCTCCTGGCTACATGCGGTACTTGTTTTGTACCTGAATGACCCGACTTGCCTCTGGTGGGAAGGCGCGAGTAGAGCATCGTGGCAGGGGATGTTATCCATGTGCACTTTTGGTTTCGGAAAACTTTCATAAAGGATTACGTGGTCTTGTTTGAAAAATGGAGTTTCTTTATCACAATTTGAGTTCACAGAGGAATGAAGGAAAAGGGCATGTGTGGGAGCTGCTCCATCACAGCTTTTTCCTCCTTCCGCTCGGCTGCTGCTCAGATGTAATGCCTTGGTGTGGATATCGCGGCCGTGAAAGGCAATGGGAAGCGCCGAGCTCTGTGGGCTGACTCCTCAGTAAGCTCATCACCATCCATGCACTGTCCTTTAAAATGTCTTTTCCAGCTGCTTAGAGCAGCCCAAATGACTAGGCTGGTAAGACAAAATTTTACAAAGAGAGGGAAAAGTGTTGAGGATATTAACGGCAAGGTCAATGGCCGTTGTGTGTGTGCATATATAAAATGGTGAAATGACTTGAGAAAGGACCTGAGCTGGTAAAAGCGGACATGCAACACTTTCAGGACGATGGTTCCCCATCACTGTAATGACTTTCTTGTTGCTGTGTGCACTCCTGTAGTGGTTTAACCCCAGCCAGCAACTAAGCACCACACGGCCCCTCGCTCACTCCCCACCAGTGGGATGGGGGAGAGAATCGGAAAGGTAGAAGTGAGAAAACTCATGGGTTGAGATAAAGACAGTTTAATAGGGAAAGCAAAAGCTGTGCATGCAAGCAAAGCAAAACAAGGAATTCATTCACTACTTCCCATTGGCAGGCAGGTGTTCAGCCATCCCCAGGAAAGCAGGGCTCCATCACATGTAACGGTTACTTGGGAAGACAAACAACATCACTCCGAACGTCCCCCCTTCCTTCTTCTTCCCCCAGCTTTATATGCTGAGCATGACGTCATACGGTATGGGATATCCCTTTGGTCAGTTGGGGTCAGCTGTCCCAGCTGTGTCCCCTCCCAGCTTCTTATGCACCTCCAACCTGCTCACTGTGGGGTGGGGTGAGAAGCAGCAAAGGCCTTGGCTCTGTGTAAGCTCTGCTCAGCAGTAACTAAAACATCCTTGTGTTATCAACAACGTTTCCAGCACAAATCTAAAACATAGCCTCATGCTAGCTACTATGAAGAAAATTAACTCTACCCCAGCCAAAAGCAGCACAACCCCCCAAAGTCACAGTGTGAATCATAGCAATATTTGGCCAAGAAAGAGCAGCGAAGAAAACGCTGATGGAAATTTTAGCCATGGCAAAGCCATGGCTAAGCTCCCTACTCCAATGCAACGTGCAACCTTTCTCATTGACTGAGTTAGCATGAAATACTGCACCACTTCTGCTGTGTTTCAGCTGAAGTTAACGTTTCCCGAGGAATGCACATTAGCTATTCCAGATGTACAGAGCTGGCTGTAACGTCGTTATGGCCCCTGCAAAATAGAACCACCCACACCATTGCCAATTTTGTCTTGTGACTGTGATTATATCCAAAACAAGGACTGGTGCGAGCCGAGCTCTGTATTTAATTCTTATATTGTAATACTGTGGTTAGAGGCAGCCAAACAGGCCTCCAGCCAGTGCTAACCGAAGCAAGTGGGACTCTTGGTTTGACTCCAGTGAACGTTGAAATTGGTTAGTTGGTACATTAGGTTTAGAATTATTTTGGGAGCTCGTAAACAATTGTTAATGAGGATAAAATGGCAAACCCTGGCCATTTTGGGGTTCTGTACTGGTTTTCCTCCCTGCTCTCATTTTTGGTAGTCTGCGGTGAAGAGCATCTATGAAGCAGTTTGCCACAGTAAAAGGATCTGGGGAGTTTTATTTTTGGTCAGCTGGTTTGTGCTGCTGCTGGTGGTGGTTTTTTGGTTGGGTTTTATTTTTTCCTGTTTTTTTGAGGGGTTCCTGGTTTTTTTCATTCTGCACCTGCATATTTTTGCAAGTGTGGATTCTTGGTCATGCGTTTTCAAGTGTTACATATTTACACTTGCAGCTGACGCCTGTAAACTGGGGCACACGCTAGCAATAACAACTTCGGTATGTAAAACACCTCACCTGTAGGAACAGGTATTCATGCTTCAAAAAACGTGTGCTCACCAGTGGTGTAGGAGTGAGAGGAAACCAGCTCCGGGGGTGCCTGCTCTTCCACCTTCATTTCCTGGAACTGCCCAAAGGAGCTGGAGACTTTGCCCTGAAAATCAACCCCTAGCTAGTTAGATTTCAGATGTCTCCCCGGCAGTGTTAATTGGATCTTTTTTTCTCCCCTACAGTTTTATAGCCTTCGAGGGTCCTGTTAACCTTCCTCTCAGGACAGTGCCTTCTCACTCTTTCTTGCAGATCATTTTGAACTCCATGCACAAGTACCAGCCAAGGGTCCACATTATTAAGAAGAAGGATCACACGGCTTCTTTGCTAAACCTGAAAAAAATCTTTCCGGAGACAGTTTTTACAGCTGTTACTGCCTACCAGAATCAACTGGTGAGTACAGTTGCTAATTTCCGCGGATTTAACTAAATCCCACCCTGCTGAAAACTCTCTTTTCCCCAATCTACACTAGGAAACTTTCTGATATAACCTACCTATCCATGCCAATGTCTGTAGTGACCTTGACCAACCTAATTCATATTCAGGAGTAATTCTTTACGTATACGGGTAGTACTACTAACTTCAGAGGGCCATAAGGATTATTCATGGGAGTAAAGATGACATGAAAGAGGCTTTAACTTGTCTTCCATTCTGCCTATACAAAGCTGTTTGCGTATTATCATTTAGTGCTTTTCTAATTATAGCTCATTAAGGAACTGTTCTTATTTGCAGTGATCTTTCACGCCACGAGCCATTAGCTGAGACATATTCTGGTTTGCACGTAATGATTTCATGGGCTTAAAAAGTTGACTAATTAAGCTGTAAGGCTCAAACGTAAGGGAAATCACTCAGAGATATGCTTTTCAGAAGCTGCCCAGATTACATCCAGATGTTTGAATTTCAATTTGCATGCCAGTGAATAATATATACAAAATGGAGGAGATCATAACAATGGATTGCTAATGAGTAATTTTAGGAAGTATATAAACAATTGGAGAGCAGAGGCTCCGCTTGACAGTGGATAGGGCTTTAATATTTAAGTCAGTGGAAATATGTTGTTGCCTTCAGTGCGATTCAGACCGCTTTAAAGGCTTAATGACTACGGCACTTCAAAACAATACCTCTTTCCCTCTCTAATTCCCCCAAGTTAATAAAAATTTAAGTACTGTCCAAACATGTGGGCAGGCAGCATCACAGAGTCAATGTACCTGCTGGATTATTTAAAGAAGTTTGCATTTCTTAATATAAAGCAGAAGTAATTAATTTTTAAATGCTATGAATAAAATCAAACTACTGCATAGGGGGCCAAAGAAGCTCTGAAGATAATAGTAGTAGTATTAAGTCAATCCTTACGACACACCCCACATCCTGCTTTAAGGCTTTAATATCAGAATGTTTTGATTTTAAACTCAGGTTTGTATCTGAATGCTGCAGAAAATGCATTCAGCACCTGGCAATCTCAAGAATATAATGTTTGGATAAGGCGGTTAGATTTTTCCACTTAACTTTCTGTAGAAACCAGCAAAATAGTAACAGGCACAAAACCAGCTAAACCTGGAATTTATTTCAATAGGATGGATTTGTGTTAACCAATGATATTTACACTACAGATGTTTCTAAACTAACCTTCCCAAAGCACATACATTGCGTCCTGGAAGATTTCTCAATGGAACATCTCCGGAACCCCTAGAGGTTGATGCTGTCATTTTATTTATGACTAATGAAAATGGAGCCTTTTTTCATTTTTGCCATTTCTTTCAGAACTGTTTTAAGGAGGGGTTGATTACATTTCTGGAGGTTATTAGATAAAAGCTAAATACATTACACTTTCAACAAACTATCTCATAATTTAAGATTTAAAGGGCATGCATTTATTTAAACAGTCAAACCACTGCCACAGAGTTGAATTGCAGGTCAGATTTCATTTTAAAATGCTTTCTAGCAGATGTTCTCTGATTGTTTGTGAGACAGTTTCTCAGGAAAAATATGGTCATAAATGATTGTGAGTCTCATCTGGCTTCGGTGGATACAAAAAGTTTCTCTTGTGATGTCATACCAAATCTTTAATATTAGGAAAATGGAAGTTTGATTGGTGAAAATACGCTCAAGAGATGAATAGATGTCCTTATTATTCTGCAATGCAGTTGGCTCGGTGTGTTGGTGATCTAAGTCAATGGAACTAGTTAGAGCTCGTCTTTTTTCAAGGTCGTTTTCAAAATGCTGCCATAAAAATATTCGCTGGACGTGAGGCACTAACCTGCCACTTTCTGCAACATCACCATGAGTCAAGGGCTTATGGATATCTTGGGAGTAGGATGAGACTATAACCAACTTGCTGAGCTGTTGCAAGGTCCTGTGACAAGGCTAGTAGTGGTCAGGGTAGTTTCCACCAGTTGTACCTGCATGATGAAACAGCCTCAAACCCTCAGCCAACGCCGAGGTCCCACGTTGTTTGACCAGCCCGTAGGAACAACCGGTGAGCTGCAGCACCTCCTACGTGGTGCCTCAAAGCAAGGACCTTCCCCAGAGAGCTTGCCCCTGTGTGGACCCGAAATGCCGGGCAGGGAAGGCTGCAGCCCAGGGGTGCAGTGAGCTTTCCAGGGTGGCAAAGCAGGTGGGCGGCAGCCGCAGGAGCAGCCACTCAGCACATCGTTCATATACTGCAGACCAGTAATTAAATACTCAGGTTTTGTCTTTTGTAAGCCTGTCCCTCCCTCTCTGTGTTTCCCTCCCAGAAGACCTCTTTCTTAGAATGGAAAGCTGGGTTCAGTTGTCCTCTTTTTTTTTTTTTTTTAATTTTGGAGAGGATGCCGCCCCATTTTGAAATAGCGTTGTTTGATGGGAGCATTTGATTGTTTGAGGATTTGGAAAAGATCCCTTTTCTTTCTGAGGCTCGAGGGCCAGCTATTAAAAATGAGGTTGTGGCCTCTGCAATACAGCCTTTTTTTGAGGAAAGCCAGGCTGACGTAGCCGCTCAGTATGAAATGCTGAGAGCTGTTTATTTTCATGGGCTTCAGCTAGAGTTGGTGGCATTCACTGCCTTGCAGGACAGGTCCCGCATTGTCCCTCATCAAGCTCCAACTGCCACTCAGTTTTATTTTTAATTCTTGGAAGAAGTATGGCTGGCAAATCTGAATATTATGATGACGTCTCAGGTTTTATCCACCAAATCTCACTTGGCTGGACAGCTAGAAAATTTCACAGGGGCAATAGTGTATTTTTTTCCTGCTGCCAAAAAAACACAGTGGAAGCCACCACCTATGCCTGAAAAGTTTGACTGCAAAGTTAAGGGGAGCCCTGATGCTTTGGGGCAGAGCCACTCCTCATCAGTGGGTTACTCTGGCTGAATGCAAAGGCTGACAGGATGCACTGGGCAGGTTTGTAGCTGCATTTGAAGAAGGGAGGAGAGTTTTCATTGCAAGACCTCTATTTTTCCAGGACTGTGATGGTTTTAATGGGATTACTCCTTTAACCCAAGCTTTGCCACTTTAAATCTGAGTTCTCCCCACATTTTTCCTCCCTCTTTCCCCTCCTCAGCCTCTTTCAATGCAAAAACAGCTAAACTGCCCCTATGTGATGGCTGGTAGGTCTGGCTGAGAGCATTTGCATTGCAGTAAAAAAAAAAAAAAAGGGGGGGCTGAACTGAAGCAAGGTCTTCAGGTTTGCAGGCAGTGGCTCCTAGTTTAGGCTCATACTAGCTGATATGCAGCTCCACCAACGAGGCTCAGATGTTAGCAGCATGCTGTGCGTTGCTCATGGAAAAGACAACTTGATTCATGCTGTTGAAGTATTTGGAAGCAGTAATGTTGTACACGGGTGGGTTCCTCCTGCTCTGGGTAAAACTGAAGCAAGGTCTTCAGGTTTGCAGGCAGTGGCTCCTAGTTTAGGCTCATACTAGCTGATATGCAGCTCCACCAACGAGGCTCAGATGTTAGCAGCATGCTGTGCGTTGCTCATGGAAAAGACAACTTGATTCATGCTGTTGAAGTATTTGGAAGCAGTAATGTTGTACACGGGTGGGTTCCTCCTGCTCTGGGTAACATGAAGGCTGAGCCCACTGTGCCCTTCAGTCTTTCCATTGCCATGTGTGTAATACACCCTGGTTTGCCTCCCCAGCTTTGCAGCATCTCAAGAGCAGCGTGCACGCACACATAAGAAGCGTGGACAAAATTAGCAGTGAAGTCAGGAGGATGGATCGGTTAACACTTTGTACACTGCAATACCTTAACACTATATTTATGTTGCGTTGCTTTTTTCTGTGTTTCCAGATAACCAAGTTGAAAATTGACAGCAACCCTTTTGCTAAAGGATTCCGGGACTCTTCCAGACTCACTGATATCGAGAGGTAATGGGGACTTTCTGTTTACTTTCCATGCAGATAAGATAAAGAGAAGAGAGAGTTTGTAGGAAAAGCATCCTTTCAACTCCTGAGAAGCTGTGCATTTTAATGTTATCTTGTTGCATATAGTAAGCCTCCTCCACCTCCTTTAAAAATACTTATAAACTTTATGAAGAAAGAGCTGGTTTGAGTTTTGACATCTGTTCTACTTGGGGCCGATATATTCATCTTCCTGAGGGGGCTTCTTGAAGCGGGGAGAGGGTCAGTTTTACAACTTCAGAATGAAAAGCTTTTTTCTTATCATGCCATTTAATCCTGTTGAGGGCTGTGAATTGGGTCACTGGGAAACAAGGGCAATGGTCCTGTGAAAAACATCTTTATAGCTCCCCACTGCTCCACACAGTGGAAAAGAGAGAGGGGAGCTTCCCAAAATACACTTCAGCAGTCCCAGACACTGAAGTCAGCAATTGTTGCCATCAGGACAAATCCCATAACTCCCACTCTGACGACAAAGATGCCATTTTTGTTTCACCAAAATTGTACTGCAGGCTGCATCAGGGTAAAGCTTTATCTGGAAACTGTTGAGTTTTGTGTGTGTGTACAGCTCATTATAAGCAACTGCTGCCATAGGGACAGAAGCATTAACCCACAGTTGAGTAGCAAATAAACTTCAATCTCTTGGTAGCTCTCCAGCGCGTCACATTTTTATGATATCGTGTCAAATAGTTTGGCAAATGAAGCAAATTAAGCTGCCTGCGTCCTTCAGGCTGGAAGAGAACTCGCGGGAGATGGATATAGCACATCCAAATTTTTCCATGAGCACACAAGCATGAAAGAAAGTTTGGAGAGGCCAAAACCCTCTAGGCTCCTATGTGGAGATATCCAGATGTATCTGTGAATCATCTTTCACGGGTGCATATAGTGGACAAACTGCTCAATGAAGTCATATCCATACAGCTACAGAAAGTCTTTACAGCATTTCAAAAGTACATCAATCTAAGCAGGTCCATGACTGGGAAACAGTGGTATATTTTATACCTTACTAGTGACTGGATCATTAGTGATCCGTTGAGTAATTGGGTGAAAGAACAGTAATTTGGGAAAGCAAGCTTGTAGACTGCAGGGCACACTTGCAAAGTTGTTAAAAATTGCTTCCTAAGTGAAAGTCTTAGTTGAAAATGGGGAAAAAAACCAAAGCAGGTTTAATTAAAATAGCATAGCCTACTGTATTGACAGAGTACTAAGGCAAACAACATCCAAAGCTCAGCTTTGTATTCAATAAATTGTCAAGAAAGGACCTGTAGGAAGAGAAGAGACTTTGATTTTTCACATTTCAGTTTCCTTGTTTTACAGACAGGCGATATCTAATGACACAGCTTTGCAAGGGCTGAGAGAGTCTGAATAGATAAGCTGGGAGAAAAACTTGGTTACCTCTGTGCAGATGAACCAACTATCGTGGTGCTGGATATGAAGGGAATTTTTCCAGAGGACATCTTATTATAACAGCACATGGCATGGAGTCAGAAATGCGGAGCATAAACTGCAGTGCCCTTTTGTTTATTGATAAGCGTAAGAATAGAGCCTGAAGCAGGGAGCTTAGCCCAGGCACGAACGTTGCTGTGAAAGATAAGGTAGCCAAATGTGAAACCTACAATAAATACAAGAAACAGAGTGTGAAAAGTATTGAAATGACATTAAAACTCTGGATTTGAGAGTCCAGGTTTGGGTAAGGTCTTATTTTGACTTAAATGGGAAAGCTTAGCCCCGATCAGGTTAAAACAGTATTCAGAAAAACAAAACCTGCTGCACAACACATCAGGTAATGAGATAGTAAAAGTGCAACACACAAGAGGGCTGGTAAGAGACTTTGAGAATTTCCTAAGATATCTGATATGGTCCAGAAATACCAAGGGTTTTTTTTCAGTTCCAGCATCAAAATATTCAGGCAGGTGAGAATGTAATTCTCTGAGTGCCCACTGGTTCTACAGTTTTCATCTTAGGGCCAGCAAAATTGCTTAAAGAAATCTGATATAAAGCAAAAGAAATAGCAAAGTGAGATATGACAACAGGAAGAATTTCTTGCTTCATGTCCATCGCGACATGCATTGTAAGATATAGGTGATACATTGAATAGTACAGCATGACTCTTGCTCGGTCTAGTTGGAAACTTAGTTATTCCTATACGATCACCGTCTGAGAAAAATATTTATTTGCCAGGCAAAAGACTATGCAGGCCAAATGCATATTTGCACAGCTCTCGAAAATTGAATATTTATCTAGAAGCTGTGAAAATACCTTCCACGCGCTGCTTGCTAAGCAGGCCTGCGTGCAGCGCGTGCATGCATAATCTGCAGCGCGGTGCGGTGATCCTAATGGTCTCCTGTAAAGCATCCTGTGATGTTAGGGCCAAGAGAGCACTCATTTATCGCGAGTTCCAGCTTTTCCGAATGACCTAAGTTGTGTGAAAGTGTACAGAGCTTTGTATTTCATTTCCAGGTATTTAAGCCTGCTTTTTCCTAAACAGCCTTTGGGGAGGGAAACAATCAGATCAATTGATCTTTAGAGACCTAAAGAAATTAAATTAGTCTGGAGTCAGTTACTGCACTAAACCATCCAGTAATTGGATTGCTCCTTGTAACTGATTGAAAACAGCCTCTATCTGTAACAATATAGGGAGCTTTTCTTTATAGTAGATCTGAGAGAAAAACACATCTTTTTATGACATGATGACAGAAATTGCACTTTTTTAACCTAATTGAATATGATTTTATAAATATGTGACTTTAACGATTTCAGGCTTCCCATTCTAGATTTACGATCCCTGTGTAGGAAATTCAAGCTGCAAATGCCTTTAGGATTAAATCTGTTTGCACTATATGTGTTGGAGTTAAAATAATATATGTAAAGGTAGTGAAATTTGCAAAATGGTAGAGGAGGTAGGCAACAGCAAAGCTATTAAGTGCCTGTATTTTCTTTTGTTCCTGCCTGAATACCTTACAACGGTTTCCTTGTACTCATAGCAATATATGCAAAGCTTTTAACCATTGAAAAAAATTTTGGTGAGTTTGGTATATACCGAATTTTCAGTAGGATGTGAGATTCCTTCCACAACCAATTCTTTCCATACATTACTTGTGGTAATCTATTTATGGTAATGGGGCAGACTTTATCTGGGGCTACTGTGATTTAGATAAGTTGATGATTCACCTTTTGATCTTTTTATGTGGTATTTAGATTTTCTCTATTATAAAAAGGCTCCCACAGTGGTTGTGGTTGAAAAACTGAACATTTAGCAGCAATTGTCAGAATGTGGAGCTTAACGTACTCTGGTGTGGACTACGGGATGCCAAATGCAGTAATGTGGATGAGCGTGATCTTTTTTAATGGTAACCTTTGTGAAAAAGATTAATGCAGGGTTTATGAGCAATTCACTCTGGAGATAGGCTTTAAGGAAATATCTTTATGCTTCTGCTTAAGAAAAAACTGCCAAAGCCATGAAGGATGCAAAATCAGAACACAACACATCAATTTTTTAATCTTGAGCCTGAATTTACCTTTTGAGTTGTTGTGGAGAATTAGCCTTTTAAAAATAAATAGATAAATAAATAAACACATCGCAATTAAATATCATGCAAATAATCCAGTGAAAAAGGTGATCTTTTCAAGAGTGTGAGTCAACAGAACTACTCAATCATAAAATAAAGATCAACAAGAATTGACAGATCATAATCATGATCTGAATGTTGCTTGTCTATTTGATCCAGCACGTGATAGGCAAGTTCAGGGTGTGGACTTGTAACTATTAAAGAGAGCTAAGGGAGTATACCCATCTGCACAAGTCCAATAATGCTTCTGGGATGTAGTACATACTTCAAGAGGCAATATGTTAGGTAATGGAAAAGTATGGCTGCACACCCAAGTAATTTTTAGGCAGAGAAAGGAAGGACTGGGGGATGGGGGAAGTAAGTAAGCAAGCTGCATCCCAGCATCCCAGCTGGATTTGCATGGTAATCAGATTCTGAATTTTCCCCTGAGGAACTTCATGTCTGAGATGGGGAAATACATTGTACCGGCTTACAAGGCTGTGAGTGAAATGGATGTTAATGCCCAGATATGGGCACTGCCCTGTTGAAGTAGCAGTCAAAGCCGTGTGCTTAATGATGTGCTGTCCACAGCAGTCCTCTCTTCCACTCCTTCCCTGCTCACCCCACAGAGCTGCCTTCCTCCCCATTCCCACTTCTTACTGCTGGTCTAGAAGAACTTCTCTGACTCTTGAAAGCACCCTACCAACAGGCAGAAATATATTCTCTCTACTCTCCCGTGTCCATGGTTAAGTAGGGCTTTGTCATAGTTCTCCTCCAACAAGTCAAACTCGCCAGCTGATCTTTTATCCTCAGCTAGTTCTCAGTCTATGAATGTTGGCAACCAGCATGGGAGACCATCTCCGATGTTTAGGTTGGGAGAAGAACTGAAGTCCTGAGTTTAGGGAGAAACACCAGCGACTTCGGTCCTAAATGCCTGGTATCTGGTGCCATTCCAGATGTGCTCAGGTTACTCCAGCCTCCAGCTGCTGCTCCAGAGGGGTCAATGGATTGTCTATATTTTCTGTATCATTCCTTCCACTGCACATGGCTTGGATATCTTAAGACATCTAGAAAGCACTACCTGCCTACATTTAGACACCTGAAGCATTCCCTTCAAATCTGGTTTCTCCAGCTCTGCTTACTGTTAGCCAGGCAACTGTTCCCCAGCAGAAAGCCCTCCATGCCAGCTAAAATCGCTTCAGTTCCCAAGCTTTTAAGCATTCATACCCTGGCTCATTTTTCACTTAGGTATTCTGTTATCTACCTTTTTACTTGTGCAAAATGGTATAAAAATGTTTCATTTTGCTAGAGTTTTCCACTCACCTCATGCAGGTGTAGGTGCGTGCATAAGAGGAGGGGATGATGTCAGATCAGACCCCCCGTTTCCACCCCAGAGGAAGTTTTCCAGGGACTTCCCCCAGT